TTTTGAGTATTATTGTTGTGTTTTCCTCCCTTCCAAGCTCTGCCAACAGCAAGGCACTGTTGGAGTTCCACAACGGTCCAAGATCAACTCGGACTTCACTGTCCAAGAACACCTCAGACAGCCTTGTCCGAGTAATTTTTGCTGGCGGTGCTCATTGCACCTGAAATTTCTAAAAATGCCTCCTTGCCTTCAAATTGATGTGACTCCTTTGGGTTTTGCACCCCAATTATGGGAACCCCATATTAGTATTTGTCTACTTCTTATATATAACTTATATTAATATATCTAAGCTTCAATGTAACTCCTTCTCCTAGCTCACCTAATGATAAACAAATGAACAATATATAATTCTCCTAATTACCCTGAATAAACCACACAAAAATCCATCAAAATCCCTCAAATAATATCATTGCACCACCAGAGCATCTCATCTCTCTATAGAACAGGACTTCCCCTCTGTTTCAACCCATAACACCATCCCTCTAACATCTATTCCACACCCAATACAAAAATACACCTATTTTTGAAATTTTGACCCTGTAAGACTACCTATACTATTTTATAGAATCTTCTGTGAAAGACCCAGCTAATAATTCCAAAGATGAAAGTTTTAGAGCACACTCAGAAAAACATTTTGAGCTACTGTAGCCCTCATAATCTTTAAAACTGACTGTGAAAGTCTTATACACCAATAACTTTGAGTATTTAATGCTATTTTATACTATTGTATAAGGGTTTCTTTTTTATCCTACCTATAAATTGGTTTTTTATGCATTAATGAAAGTCATTTCTTATGTGATTTTTTACACAATTACTTTTTTTTTTTTTTAAAAAAAAAAAAAAAACCACTAGCTTATCTCCACTAACTTGGAAGGTGTTTCCCATAGACTCAAAAAAACTGATTAAAATGTTGTTTTCTACTAGTTTTTGATATGTAGGATCAATGATGATGTTCTATTTATGTATATGTGTGATAAAAACTCTCCTTAGACCATTTTCATGCATCACACCATGCACCCTTATTCTAGTCCATTGTATGTGTCAGATATCCTTTTGGCTGGCATCTTAAGGGTCAGGACATGGGACAGGAAATCTTTAGAGGAAATACTTAGCAAAGTTCATGTGACTCATAGAAGATTTGCAAGGCTTGTAGGAAGGTTGGTATTCCTTCCCTCTGCTTTTGCCCCTTGTTTGGCTGCCTTGTTCAGGGTAATGTCCTTGTGGCCTGGGGTCCAGAACTCTAGTGTGGTATCATCCAGAAGTTGCTTTATTTGCTCTTTGAGAAATTTGATTAAAAGTAGCCTGAAGTGAGTTTTATCAGGTGGTGTGTAGCTAGCAGTGTGGCTTGACTATCACTGAAGATAGAAACTTTAGTTTTGCATGAAGGTAGTGGTCCAAGTCCCTTCTTCCAACACTGCAGCCATGTCAGGGGGGAGCTTCCTGCCAGGCTACCTCCTCGCTGTCAAAAGGCAATGCCAAGGGCAATTGACTGCCTTTGGTTCCCAAGTGTCTACACTGGTACACCCAAGTGTAGACTTCAGTTAGCGGACCTCTAAAAAGAGGATTTGAATATCAAAAGAAGTCTTCTTAATACCTCAGGGTAATATTCCCTGGAGGACAACCTGACTTGTAGGTGGGCCAACAACTACCTGCAGAGTTTCTATCCTGAATTTAGTAGTGAAGATGGTTAATTCCCCTGTCTCCTTGGTTCATATTCCAGCTTTTAATTATTCTACTCCTTGGTGAGATTTTTATACACCAAGGGATCCTGGAATGAGATGGCTAATCTCCTATCACTGCCAAGATATTTGTATCAGATGGGCCTATCCGATGTTCTATCACCCCAAGATATGCGATGCAGTGTCAGTAGGATTAGGTGCAATGGAATCACTATTGGTATCTAATGCTCCGACACCATATTGCAGTGTAATTCCATCGCACCTAATCCTACTGACACTGCATCGCATATCTCGGGGTGATAGAACATCGGATAGGCCCATCCGATACAAATATCTTGGCAGTGTCAGCCCCCCAGTTTTCTCTATTTTGCTTTTCATTCTCTCCTATTTCATCTTTATCTGCTTCTGTTCATAAGACACCTGATCTAACTATGACTGTGACTGCTCTTCAGAGTGATATGTTCACTTTTGTTCTATCTGAAAGAGCCACAGGCTAATTATCTCCCACACCCTACCTTAGGTTAGACAAGTCATGTTGATCGTTTCTCACACTATCTCACTCACTATATTCTTACCTTCTTGTCTATTAACATTAGGTCAGCATGTGTGTGGATTGGTCCCTGGGTTAGAGAGTTGCTCACCCAGTATCGACCGTTTCTTGTATCAGCTGAAAAACTTTACATGTGATGCTCAGTTTTAGGTGATGTGGTTGAAAGTTGGGGGAAAGCCCTCTTGCTGACCCAGGAGGGAGGCTATATATACCTTGAGGTTTGTCTATTCCCTCACCTTTGGTCTTTGGGCTGACCTATGGTTCTCTTTATGTTAGTACTGGGTTACCTGGTCAGCTTGTGGTTGGTTACACTTGTAACCAGACTGCATGTAGGCTCCTGTCATAAGTCTACTATGCTTATGACTCTTGAAACTTAGCCTGAGTTGTAGTTACTAGTTTTACATGTCTAAATCTTATGTTACACTCTTCTATTTACATGTAACACTTACATTAGACTTGATTACTATATGTAATACTTATATTACACCTGATTACTATATGTAACACTTACATTACACATGATTACTATATGTAATCATGACATGTACAGTCTGTGGGTCTGCTGCACAGTCCCCAGGGCTGGAATTCCCCACCACTAGGGAAGAACATACCAATTTTATGAAGTATGACTTCTCTTATTAGCTCTGTAAGCCCACAGGGTTATTTTGGAGTTTGGTACTTTTTCAGCTGGAAACCATTCATCTCCATCAGCTCTTAGGTTCTTATATCTTACTAGATATAATGTTTTCTCTGTATTATTTTCCTTTGCTCTTTTTTCTTTGAGTATTTTGTAAAATGTTTTCTCAGTAGGCTGGTCTATTATGGGTACAGGTTTATTTGGAGGTTGGCATTTGTTCAGCTTTTCTGTTTTTGGAGAAAGGAATTCTGTGACTAGTGCTACTTGAAAAACTGAGTGTTTCCTCTCAAATACTGCTGTTAGTTGTACTTCTACTGCATTCTTTCCATGTGGTTTCACAATCACAAAAGGGCCTACAATGGAATCTTGCAACTTTCTAGGTACTTGAAGATTGGTGAAGTTCACAGTTGAAATTAATACCAGACCCCCTCTATTAAAGTTTGGTTTTTTATGGGTTTTGTCCCATCTTAATTTATTATATTCAGCTGATTCTTTTACACACTATGATTCATAGTCTCTGGCTTTATTGAGCATAGTTGCAAAACTCAGTGCTGTGGAATGTATATCTAAATTCCTAGTCTTGATTCTGTCCTCTGGTAAGTCAGGGCAATAGCCTCTTTCAATTTCAAATGGAGTTTTGTTAGTAGTAATTTGTATACTCCTATTGTAGGCTATTTCCAATGCTGGTAATAGGGACTTCCAGTCATGTGTGTAGCCATCTTTATCTTAAAGTTATAGGTCAGAAAAAAAATGACTAGACCAGGATTCAAACCTGGAACCTCATCATAAGCTGAGACACTATGCTAGAAGTGCTGCCTTTGACCACTAGGCTATCCAGTTGGTGTTCAGATGTGAAGAGCTATGCAACTGTTACAGTTGGTTAGTCAACTGAGTGTGTGATTTACATAGCATAGATCAGTAGTGTGTTGACCACACTTCAACACTTTATCCTTGAATTTTAGTCCAAAGGCACAATACCTTCTTATCATGTTTTCCAGGGTTTGAATCATCCTTTTTGCTTATCCATATGTTTGTGGGTGGTAAGCTGTTGAAAAGGCTAACTTGGTGCCTAGTAACTGGTTCAGGCCTTTCCAGAATTTGGAGGTAAACTTTGGATCTCTATCACTTATAAATATCCTGGGTAGTCCTACATCACTGATCAGTCTCTTCTAAAATGGAAGTGCTATGTTCATAGCACTGGATTCTTTATGACAAGGGAAGAATCTAGTCCTTTTTGAGAACTATCTACTACTGCTAGGCAAGCATTAAAATTCTCACTGCCTGCTGGTGGTAAACTTGTGACAAAATCCATATTAATAACCTACCATGGGTATTTAGTTTCTCCAATCTTTTCTAGTAGTCCCCATCTTTTGCCTGTAGCTTTATTAGCCTTCTGGCATCTCACAACTTTGTACATAAGTATGGGTTTCTAATCTCCACTTATGCCACCATGCTGTATTACTCACTCTTTCAAGGGTTCTATCCACTGAGAAATGTCCTGCTGTAATATCATCATGGCAGACTTGTAAAATTTGTTGTTTTTGTTCATCTGATACTAATACTATCAAAGTTGTGTGTTTCTCCCTGAAATATAATAGTTTAGAGAAGAGGGAAAATTTTCCTTCTTGGTACAACTCTCTCTCTGTGAGAATCTTGCTTCTGTCAGGCAAGACTCCTCACTAAAAAGTGACAAGATGACAAAGGGCACAGAGGCCAAGAAGGAAAAATGGGTTCACTGCCAAGATATTTGTATCGGATGGGCCTATCCGATGTTCTATCACCCCAAGATATGCGATGCAGTGTCAGTAGGATTAGGTGC